GGCGCCCTGAGCCGGAGCTTCGGCCGGCCGGAGCCCGAGCCCGAGCCGGAGTCCCGCAGCCGAGCGTGCCCGGCCGGGTGGTTGGAGGCCGGCCTGGCTGCGGGCGGGGCACGGCCTCCTGGCGCCCGCGGCGGGGGGGAGGGGGCTTCTCCCCTAGATTCTCTCCCTACCGACCCCCACCCTCCTGCACACCCACTCCCTCGCTCACAGCTTGTAGCGTTGTTTAAAACAGGTGGAAGACCTCTGTAATGATATTATGCCTTTCAATAAAAATTTTATGAGGTGTATTTGATTATAGATTAATGTGTCCCTAATAAAACGGACGGATGGAGCAGCTCAGAAGGCCCCCTCCCCCTGCCACACTTACACAGGCGCGCGCGGCCGGCCGCACACCCCCGACGTGAGGCTGCTTTGGGGCGGTGGCTGCCCAGGCGGGGTCTTCCATCTGCTCTCCCAGAGGGCCAGGCCTGAGAGTTGGCCCCACAGGGTGCTCCTGTCCTCCGCGATGGCCGGGAAGGCCCTGGAAGAGAACGGGCTACAGGGGAGAGCCCGCGTCGCCGCCAGGCCGGCCCTGCCTCTCCCTGCATCTCCCAGGCAGGCAGAGTGGCTTTGCACCCTTCACACTGAGGGCCTTTCAACTGGATTCCAGGGGTGTCTGCAAAACCCCGCAGAATGTCGTGGTGCGGGATGACTCCGAATTCTTTGTCCATGTGCATGTGCGTGTGTGTCTCCAGAGCCTGGGCAGCAGCCTTGAAGCTGAAGGAAATTATGCCCATGGTCACTCCCAAATCCATGGTACAAAGGCTCAGAGGAATGCTCTGGGAGCCAGGACAAAAGCAGGACCCGGACGCCAGCGGCAGAGAACATCTTCACTCTACAAGTTGCCCCGGCCCCCTCGGAGGGCTCCTCCAGGCCCAGAAAGAAAGGGGAGAAATGGTTACTTAGGGCCTGATTGATGGCCTTCACCCATGGCGTTCTGGTTTTGTCCCAAAGGGGTTGCCTTGGCCTGGAAGGCACAGGGTCCCTGGGAGACACAGCCCCCTGTCAACAATCAGTGGTGTTCCGGAATCACAGGGAGAGACAAGCTGTTAGAACTCTCTTCTTTCCTTGGCTGCCAATGGAGATCCCAGGTTCCAGAAAATGCCCACCCACCCACCACCTCTTCCAGAATTCACCAAGGTTCGGGTTTTCAAGAGGGAACTTAAAACTTGAAATAAATGGATGTCCCAATACTTTCTGGGCAAAGAGCTCTAACATTTGATTTTCAATAAAGACAAAAGCTGTCAAGGAGCTTTTTGTGAGATGACCTGAACGGACTGAGGAGAATATTTAGAACCACAGCAGGACCTGGGGCAACAAATTTGGGGGACCCACTCTCCCCACGCGCACACACACCCTTCCTTTTCTCCCTGCTGGAGCTGACCAGGCTACTGTCTGGGGCTGGGACCCTGAAACAGCCCCTCAGAGCTGGCCGGCTTCCCCAGCTGTGGACTTCAGGGATAGAAGTCATGTTCATTTGCAAAGTGTCTTTCAGCTACCTTTCCTTTGGTCCTTCCCTTGCCTCCCAAATACCCTGGCTCCAAGCAGGATTGACTAGATCTTCTCCTTTCTTCCTTTAAATTGTTTTTGTTTTTCATGTGGGCCACTCAAAGGTAGTAGTGGAACAACGTAAAGTCCTTCCACAGGGACAGCAAGGCAGAGTGGGATGGGAACTCTCCCGTGGGGCTGCTGCCGTGGGGCTTGGCTCTCTAGGGTTTCACTGGGGGTAGGAATGAAGGGAAGGGGTCTGGGGGAGACCTGAGGTGAGGCAAAGCTAAACTGCTGCTTGTCCCTGTGCCTGCAATGGAGGCCTGACTGCTTCCAGGTGGGCAAGGCTGGGTGCAGCCCACCCCTAATAGTGACAGGCCACCACTCTCTGGGACCTCCGTGAAAGCATGATAAGGAACAGACAAAACCAAAAGGGAGGAGGCGCAGAGTGGGCCACTTTGAGAAAAAGAGAAGGGGAATTAGAACAGCTTGGGGTCCCCACAGCCACCGAAAGTCCGATTCTGTGCCTAACTTTGAGGAGTGAGAATGGGAGAGAAGAGAGGGCTTCCTTTCTCCCCAGTGATGAAAACAGCTCATGGGTGTCTCTCCGTCCCCAGCCCTGCACTGCCCAATACACCCTAGCCTGCCTCCAGCCCCCGGCCCCAGTGTCCGCCCCCCCCCCCACTGCCACCACTGCTCTAAACAGGCAGTGTGACAGGAAGATCATCTCTGTCCCCAAATGCTTTCCATGTCCCCCTAACACATTTCCATTCCAGAAAGCAGAGGGAGCGCAGAACTCATTTCCAGAGTTTATTGCATTATACATGCAACCAGAACATGCACAGAAAGGACAAGTTGTTGCTGTTGCACTTCTACCAAACCACAGACGCACCACAAGGGAAAGGCTATCAGGCATTAGGTCATCAATGTTCCATCTCACCAAAGACAATTGCTAAGTTCATTTGTGAAAAGATACATTGTAATGTGCTTTTTTAGTCCCCCTCCCCCCCCAAAGTTTGTGGGTTTTCTTACGCTTTAATATAGAAAGATAAGATGTAGTTTTTAAAGTACTGGATGTATTCAAAATGCCATGAGATCATGGATTAGCCAAACACACAGATCTTTTGCGTCAGGAAAAACAGGAAAAAGTCACATTGTTGGGCGGATAGATGGGTGGATGGATGGATAGATGGATGGATGCCACTACAGTTGCAATAAGTTAACCCCAAATGAAAATTTGCAGTAATAGTTACCCTGCGTTACGAGGGGAAAATAATAATAAATTACACGTGCTAAGTTTGTTTTAATATATATATATATATACTCATAGGGATTACAGATCACTTGCAGCACGAACAGAATGACCCCAAAGTCACATTCTAGCAGGAAAACAATTCAAAACAAAACAAAACAAAGAGCAATGGAGATTTTGTTCCGCCTTCTCAGTCCTCCAGCACTGGTCCCAGAACGCCGCGGTGCTCCCTCTTGGATCCCGGCCTCAGCCTGGGGTCGGACCTAAGAGAAGGTGAGGTTGGCGGTCAGTTCTCGGATCCGGTTCTCTCGGCTCATCTTCTTGAGTTTCATTCGGCGGTTTTGAAACCAAATCTTGACCTGCCTGTCGGTGAGGTTAACGCTCTTACTGATCTCTAGGCGGCGCTCACGGGTGAGGTACATATTGAACAAGAACTCTTTTTCTAATTCCAGCGTTTGGTGCTTAGTGTAAGGGCACCTCTTCTTTCTGCCACTCTTTGCAGTGAGCCAATTGCTGGTTGGCGTATCAGACTTGATTTCCTCTAACAAAATTAAAGGGAGAAGAAGAAAACAAATCAAGAAAAATATATATATTTTCTCTCTCAGTCTGTTCAAATGTAGCCTTGGGCATGACCCTGCAGGCTGACAGGCCAGGCCGCTTTGGGAAATACTGATATTAAACATTACTCATAAGAGCTGGACCCTGGAAGGGATTTTTAATTGACCAGGTTAAAGCGAACTGTCCTAAGGGACACAATGGAGGCACACTCTTGCCCTCAGTATCCAGGCTTCTCTCTCTCTCTCTCTCAACTTACAGACTTGCACAAAATATCAGTGCAACAGTAAACTTTCCCAAATCTCCCAAGCAACATTCCAACTGGTTCGCTCATAGAGAGGGTCGGGGTGGGCATGGCCATGGCCAAGGCAAGCCTGCGGAGCCATTTCTGCCTGGGGTCTCTCTGGCCACCGCTCCTTCCTCTGCTCTCCCCCACGGGCAATGGAGCCCCCAGTCCGCTTTCAGCTTCACAAGATAACGGAGGATGCTAGCTCACCTTGGCCCTGCTGTGCTCTCCGGGCTGCCTGCATTCTTGTGTCCTCTCAGCCTCTCACAAAAACCTTCCCCTCCAGAAATGCAGCCCCCTCTGGGGCCCACCTCTGGGAAGTGAGTTAGAGGCTCAAAGCAGGCTTCTTTCTCCAAAAGCCAAAGCGTTCTGCTCGGTCTCCTAGCCCTGTCCCAAGGCTGGCCTTGCGGGTGGCCAATGCGGGTCCCACTCTCCGCTTCCCTGCAGTTGTCCCCTTGGCCGATGGATTGCAAAGCCTACCACACTTCCTCCAGACAAAGCCAAGGTTACCCATCCCAGCACGTCTGGCACCCCGGCCCAGGCACTGACTTGCCCCAGTCAGCTCGCGCCCCTCACCGCCGCCTCTAACCCCCGGCAACAAGCTCGCAGGACACGGGCTGCACCCATGTGGCCGCGGGCACGGTGTCCTGGACTGACCGAACGCCGACCGGCCCTGCGCTCCAGGCACCGCCAGGGCTGCCAACCTGAGCTGGAGAAAGGGGACTCTGGGCCGGGTTTACGAGCCGAGCCGCAGTTCTCTTTTGCGCTCTTTTGTTGCCTTTCAGGTCTAGCTCAGGAAAAGAACTACAATTGTGGCCAGCCCTCGCTCTCCGTCCCGGCGCCATCGGCGAGGGGCCAGGACGGGCGGGGAGGGCAGTGGCCATGGGGGTGGGGGAGAGAAAGCGGGACCCTCTCCGGGAGGGCGGGGATCACCCACTCTAGGGCGGCCAAGCAGCACCTGCCGAGTTGGGCGCCGGCTGGCTGCCTGGGCCCCCGGGCGCTCCCTCTCAGCCTGTTCCCGGGCTGCGCGCCCTGCCGGGGGTGGCAATTCTGCTCATACCGACCTTTGCTTTCCTTCTCCTGCACTTCGGGGCTGGACACGGAGACCTCGGCCAGGCAGCTCCTTTCCTCGGCCAAGCCGCCCTTGGCCTCGGGACTCTCCACCTGGGAGACTTTGGCGGGCTCCGGGCCGCCGGCGGGCTCGTTCATCTTCTTCTCCATCTGCAGCTGGGCCGCCGAGAGCTGCGGCTTGGCCGCGCCGCGAGGGTTGAGCTGGAGCATGACAGTGGAGCTGCCTTCGGGGCTATTATTGTACTCTTGGGTTTTCCCGGTGGCGTAGGTCTGACTCAGTCTAAAATATCCAGGGACGGGAACCTCGGGGTTCTCAACGGGACAGGACTCGGGGACCAGCCTCTGGTACGAAGGGACCTCGGCAGAAATGAGTTTGTTGCGCTTATCGGAATACATGCAGCAATTGGATTCTTCCTTAATGTTGGTGGTGAAGGAGCAAGTGGGCACTTGCTGCGTAACAGGTTGCTCTACGCGACAAGATCGGTTCGGGTCTGTCCAACTGTCTACTTGAGGTATATAAGGATGCACATTCATACCCATATTTTGGTGGTTCACTTCTCTTTTGGCCAGAGATGGGAGCAGTCCACAGGTTTGCATTCCATAGGTCCCCATGTCTGCGCTAGGTGGTGGCATGTACATGCTGGCGCTGCTCGAATAAAAACTGTCACTCCTGCAGGCACTGATCAAGGAATCTACTAAAAAAGTATTAGCAGCAGGAGAGCTGTTGGGAAAGGACATTTTGGGGAGGAATTTGAAGAAGAGAGATTGTGTCCTTTGTACGCTGACATCTCTAGGAAAACATTCCCCGTGTAATTGTGGATGCCTCTGCCGACCACATGACAACCAAGCCAATGAGATTTGAAAATGGCCTTGAGCCGCAGCCTCCTCGCGGGTCACGTGCTCTGGAGCCCGGCCGGCCGGCCGCGTAAGCACGGACAACAGCGACATCTACTATGAGTCGGCGATAGTGCGCGCGGAAAACAACCGACCCAGGGCTCGCCGCCCGCCCGCCCGCCGCCTCCCCGGGGCTCGCGCGGCCCTCCAGCCCCACTCGCGGCCTCCGCCCCGATCTCCCCGCTCGGCCAGCGGAAGGAGAGGCTCGTCTGGGGGGCCTTGGAGAGGCCACGCACGGGGAGCGAAGCCGGAGGGCCATGGCGCCAGCCCACTGCAGCAAAACATTCCCCCCTTCCCCGCACACACGCAGGCAGAGCGCCACCGGAGAGGGCCGGGGCCAGGCTGGCAGGGTGGGGGCGAAGGCTGGTTGCTTTAAACCCGGGCAATCGGGGAAGGTGAGTCCAATTCGCGGGGGCCCTGATACTCTCCCACCCCAGGGATACAAAGGAAAAAACCCCTGGCGCAAAAACGGAGGTTAACAGGGGGAGAAGTCCTGGGGACTGGTAGGGAGAAGGGCCGGGAGGGCCGAGAGATCACCAAGCTGGTCGATCCCAGCGTCCAGAGGAGCAGCCCTGCCTGCCCGGCGTTGTCCTCTCCCTCGCTAGCCTGGCTTCAGCCACAAGCGCCCCGGCTGGGTTCCTAACCCTGACCCCTTGGAGGAACCGCGCCCCGACCTCCGAGGGGCCCCGGAGCTTTCAATCAGGGGACAACCCTTCACCGTTGGCTCAGGTTTCCTGAAAGGGTCCCAGCGGCTCTCAGCAGGACAACGAAACCAAGGTCTTCCCTCCCACACAGATAACAGAGAACAGGAAGGAAGGTCTGGAGAAAGAAAAAGGCATTTCAAAGGCAAAAAATGGGTAAAACATGCCCTGGGACGCCAGAAGTTTATGCAAACTGGCTGGCCCAGGCTGGCCGCATAGAGGCAGAGGTGTCTGTCATTGGGTTCTTCTGCAAAGAAAAATATGTTTTCCTTTTATGGATTTTGTAAAAGCATTGGTTTCTGACAAGTGCAAGGTACAAAAGGTTGTGGAATTTATTAATACATATTAAGAAGAATCAGGACGATCAATAAAATTCTCATCTACATTCTTGGGCTACTTGGTAATTTTCTTGCTTCTGAAGGTTTTTAAAGAGTTATACCCGCTGTTGCCACACACGGGAAGATATTTTATTAACAAATCAATCGAGACTTTGTAAAGGATAAGATTAATAGTTAAGATTTAGCATAATGGCATTCGCTTTATGAATTATTGAAAATTATACTATTGATTTTTCCTCTTCACGACTAACCAAGAAGGTCAATTTTTGTTTTAACACAAATCGTCAAATATTAAAAGCTGTACTTTTTTGTCAGAAGTCGACTTTTATAGTTCTGGACGATTCCTAACTAAGATGCTTTGACAAGCTTTGGCTACCTCAGAGAGGAAGGGGGAAGACAGGCAGAATACGTGGGGGGAGGAGAGGGTCGCAGTCCTCTGTTTCCTTTGGCGAGGGAAAGTTATATAAAGGGGATTTGGTCTGGGGTTGTGGTCCAGCTCATTAAAAAACCACCACTACCGCCTCCCTGGAAACCAGGAGTTTTATGAGAAACTTCTCCAACAACTTCCTCCCTGGTTCTCTGGCTGCAGGCTGTGAGAGGCCCTTCGGAAGTCAGGCCTCCAGGCACCAGCAGGGCGCTTTCACCTTGATTCCCAAAGGCTGGCTGTGACAGAGGCCCACCGGAGCAATGCAAGAAGCCCTGCTCCGGCCTGGCCACCCCAATCCTTTGTGGCAATCAAGAGCAGAGAGGGCTGGGGACACTGACAGGGGACCGGCTCTCTGGCTGAGATGGGTGTGCTCCTACTCTCCCCACACTCTTCTGGGCAAGGGCTGGCCTTGGATGACAGGCCCCGAGATTGAACTTGTTGGCCAGTCTGGTGTGCCCCCAGCAGCCCAGATCCTGGAGGGGGGGGGAGCACTTCTCATTAGAACCCCAGTATTCTCAGGGTGGGACAACCTCCATACAAACCTTTCCCAGCAAATCTCCTGACCCCCCTCCCAAAAAGGAATCTCCCTTGGCTTGATGGGGACAGATGCTGGGCACTATTTTTTGGCCTTGGGACTGGTTTCCTTGTCCCCTCTCAGAGTACTCACCCAAACAATAACCCCTTTTTAAAACTCCGCGGTGGCAATGAGACAGACCTTTTAAACCTTTGCGCAGCTGTTCAAATACAACATCATTGTCAGGTTAAAAGCCTGGCGCCTCTCACTGCTGGGCTGCGGGATGCCAGGGAAGACTGGGGTTTAAACATTGCCTTGTGGCAGGGGCGGCTGCTTTTAAGCTGGGCTGGGGGTGAGGGAGTCATGGGGGGGCTAAAAAAAACCCCAAACAAACCAAAAAACCACCCACAACTTTCTATTCTAGTCTGCTAAGGTCCTACCCAGAGCTAACAGCCACTGACCAACGGGTGACTGAAAATGGCTTTGTCACAGCACGGGAGATCAGATTGCGATCTAAAAGCAGGGTGCCCAGGGTTGGACAAAGTGCCCGCTGCCCGTGCGCTTGCTCTTGCTTGCTCGCGGCGGCGCCTGTTCAGCAGCCAAAACCTGAGACACTGTCTCCTCTTTGCACTGCCAGGATAACTGCCGGCAACAAGGATAGCCAGATCTCCCTGAACCGCGAGAAGCAAGGCTGTCCTATCGAATTTTATGCCCGTCCAATGCCATTTCCGAATCTTTATTTAAACATAAAGAAAACATACAGGTTCAAAATAAAGGATCCCAAAGCCGAGCCGGTAGGTCTGCACAGCGCCAGGGCAGACAGACTCTGTCTTCCCAATTTGGGTAAGTTTCCATGTCAACACGCGGTGGCCATAGTCCAAAGTCATGTGTATGTTTTAAAGAGGTCTTCTGTACTCACAGGGGGCCCAAACCCCCCCGTCTATGTCTCAGATATCATTTCAAGTCCAGTCTCACAAAATGCAGTATTAAAATTTCTTTTTCAAATGTCTGTCTTTAGACTATCCTTTCGAGGCCAGAGGCTGCCAATTTTTAAGAGATATTTTATTTTTATCATAAGAAAGATCCATCATAATCGAGATCATGGAAGAGAAAGATCGCTGGGGAGGTTGGAAACTTTGCCTGAGACCTTAAAGCTGAGAGGCAACAAATGGATGGTTGGAAAGCCAGCGCCCTGGAAGTCTCTCCTTCGCTTCTGAGCATTGAAAGTCGCTGCTGTTTCGATCATCTTTAGATCCGCTGGAGCAGTTATCATTAATAATAAATCAATATTGCCCCATAAAGGAGATAAACACCCATCTTTGTACCAGGACACCGCTCTCCCCAGCACAGTTCTTTCCAGGGAAAAATTTAAAGGATGGCTTTCTGGAAATGAGCATTTGTGATCAAGCTGTGGCAGGCGGCCGCACTCTCTGGCCTTTGGAAAGGAGCAGTGGGGTGGTCCTGGCTGAACCGAACCTGGGGGCTCCTGAGGTCACCCTGCATGAGGACCCTAAAGGGGTTGGGAGCTGGAGCACTCTTTAGGGGTTGCTAGTGGGGGGAACACATAAAAAGCCTTTAGGGTGTTCCTTAGGCTCGCGGCGGCGTGTGCCTCCCAGGCAGGGTGAAAAGCGACGAAGGGGCAAATGGAGAGACTGGCCAAGAAACCCCCCCCACCCCCACCCCAGCGCACGGAAGGGATTACGAGGGTCTATGGAGCCAACTCGCTAGGCCAGGAGGGCTCCTCTTTCTGTCTCAGACACAAAAGACTCCGAATTTGGCCTTTCCTCTCCTCTCTAGGGTCTGCGACCTGGGCCCTCGGGAACGGTGGCTACCCTCGGCAGCCGCCCCTCGGCCCAGCTGCCGTCCCGCGGCCGAAAGGAGAGGAACTGCGGGACCGCGGAACAGCCAGGGTCCGCGGGCGGCCAAGGCCAAGGGGCCAAGCCGCCTGAGGAGGAGCTCAAGGACATTTGGGCCAGGGGGTGTTCTCAGGCCACAAAGCCTGCAGCATTTCACAATAGCTAAACTGGGCCTGCTGTCAGACAGGCGGGAGCCGAGATGCCCGAGGGGAGCACCCACGCTGCCGGCCGGCCTCTCCCTAGGGTGCTCGGGCGCCCCAGCCCCGCTCAGCTTGGCGGCGGGGGCGTTGGCCCAGGGCCTAGTCTGGAGCTAGGCTGGGGGCTGAGGGAGCACTCACAATGAACTTCGAGGTGGGGGAAGGGGAGAAACAGAGGCATCACACTCTCTTAGACCCCAAGCAAGGGACATGGGGCTTCGCCCAGGTCGGTGGCCTTCCTAGGGGACACGCGGCAAGAAAACTGCCTCCGATGGCCGCTACCAAAATCAAACTTCTCATGGCCGCTACCAAAAATTAACCCCCAACGCAGGCCAACAGGCAGATCGCAAGAGCGGCCAGGCTTTTGTGAGCCACAAAACCCGTTTGCTTGAAATCTGCTCCCCTTTCCGCAGCCTTGGGGTGCAAACCCATCCCGAGACCGTCTGCTCTCTCCCGCGGCCGCGGCGCCCCAACCCACAACTCTGCGCGCGCCCCCAAATCGCCCCAGGCCCGCCTGGGCTCCCGCGTGCAGAATGAACCCCTTGGTGTCCAACGCGCCTCGATTTCCTTAAAACCGCACTCAGCGAGGATGCCGGAGCCCTCACCTCTCTTAAACAAAAGCCTCGTAATCATCCCAGGCGGCCAGAGATCTCGAAAGGCGACTGCGGCTTTGGGGAGGGGACTCCTAGACTCATATCCATCTATAACTCAAATCCAGAAGAAAACCGATTTCTCCTGCCTTTCGTTAGCTCGCAATAGCCACGGCCAATTTCAAAGTGCTCTCATGTCTCTTTAAAATCTGCCCTTCACACTACCAGGTCAGTTTACTACAAGGTGTTCTTTTCGCAAAGGCTTTAAAAAAAATTTTTTTTTAAGGAAACAACGATTAGATTTCCTATTTCAGGAATCGAGTCGTTCCCTTTTTTCTGTCTTTATACAACTTCCCACAGCCCCTGGCTGCTTAGGAGAAGCAAACAGCGAACACCTTAGCGGCTGCCTATTTCTAACGGACTGAGATCGCCTATTAGAATTCATTATTGCAAAGACAAGGTACCGCGGCCTCCGGGCCAAACGCAGCTTCTGGAACGTGAGTGCGCCCCCGTGTGGCTCTCTAAGGTCCTGCAAACGCGAAATTACAGCTCAAGGGTTCTGCTTGCCTTCAGTATTGGACACTCGCTGACTATGTGTAGACGCAGTTTTAAAAAAAGATAGATGAGGAGAGAAAGAAATAAACCAGTTTTAAGATGCTGTAAGGATCATACTACAAGGGCACTGACATTTTAACGGACGCTCAGAATTCTAAACAAAAGAATCCCCTTCTGAACAAAATTATTCATTGTAGGCTTTGTTTCTATTTCTTTTACCAAAGTCACTTTCAATATACATATAGTTCTCTTTTATATATCTATATCTATATACTTATATGTATATTTCTCTACACACACACAGATCGTTTTCTTTTGTTCCATATCACAGCTAGTGCAATAATTTCTTTGACAGGGTGACATATTACTTTCAAATATAAGGAAGGTTTAAGTTTGAACAGAACCCCTTTTTTCCAATGACTGTTTTTAAACCTATGATTCTTCATCAGAGCAAAAAGAAACGGCTATCTCAGACTCCCCCCAAATACACCCAAAGCATTTCTTAATGGTATTGAAAACATTGCTGGAAAGCATTTAAATCTAATAGGTGTTTTAAGAACAAGTGAATTGCTTTTGGATTATACAAATGTTTGAAGGGAAATTAAGGTTATTGATTCTGAAATTAGGAATTTGCTTAGATTTATGATGAGCCCCAATATGAGTCTGTGTGGTCATGAATGTGTGTGGGTCTGAATGTATGAGTATGTGTGTGTGTGAGAGTGGGTGGCAGCTGAAAATCACAGAAGAACCTTAAGGCGCCTAATTATTCAGAAAGGTTAAAGGTGATGACCTTGACATTTTGGAAGTTCAAAGGCATACACTTATGCACTTATGTTTTTTCCTTCTCCAAAAGAAAAAAAAAAGATCTAGCATTTTGGGGGGTTCATTTGGAAATGCATCCTCTCCCTAAGATGCATGGGGTGCTGTTCATCTTATGGATTTTTTTTACTTTGAGTTTATGAGAAGTTGAAGCGTCATCAGATCCACTTCACCCTTTTCAGAGAAAGAAAAGCCTTTCTCACTCCTCCAGTTTATTGCACACTGCGGAAATCTCTTTTGGGCCCACCAGAAGGTGTATAATATAACCCAATTAAGCTGTTTAGAACTTAGGCTTTTATGGTGTTGTCTAGACAGTTCAAGGTTTTGTAAACAGCCTGGCCTGGCCCCGCAAACAGAAAACGTAGTCCAGCCTTTACCACATTCTTTAACTTGAATCGATAAAGGGGATGAGAAGTGGGTCTGTGGCCCCTGGCTTATTTCTGGGAGGGGGCTTCCCTTCCTGGGTCCAGGCCCAAATGACACCAGCAAAAGAATCAACCTGTCACCACCCACTTCCCCTTGACATCCACTTCCTTTCAGCCAGCCTTTTTTTTTTTTTTTTTAAGTAGGGCTCTCATGTTGATCACTTGTTTTAAGGACCCAGATTTGGATCTCTTTGACAGTTGTTAAGAGAGAATTAGGATTTTCTAACCAGATGGAAAATGTGTTCCTTGTCTCTAGAAATTCCGAGTTCACTTAGGCTGGGAATAGAATTTCTTCTTAGATTCCTGCAGCAGCCTGGCTGGCTCTCACCATCAGTAGGACAGTCCCTGCTAAAGTGAATTTTTAAACCAGTGTAGCTTGGAGGGAGGGATTCCAACCTTTTTTTTCCCCCCTCTAGATTAAAACATTTCCCTCCTTTGGGCTTTTGTTTTGTTTTGTTTGGTGTTGGGGAAAGAGGGCTCTGACTACTGGAATCTCCTAATTGGCCACTGAACTTCTTCAAAGAGGAAAATTCATACAGTGCATTGAAGCTGTAACCTCCATTTTACTAGAAACCATTTATTCACACAAAAAAGACAGTGGCTCATGGCTTGATATGACAGACCATAGGTACATTTCCCATAGTGTAAATAATCTGCATTCATCATCGAAGGAGGTGAAGGCTTCTCTAAGCTCAGAACAAAACACCAGTGCCTTCCAGCCCCGCCGCCTAACTCCTAGCATCCCATTGGCGTCCCAGTGAGGACTGGGAGGGGGAGGGGGAACAACAGCACATTGGCGGTAAAATTGTAAAGGGACGATTGCATTTACCATTTTCCCCATTTTAGGATCCGCTCGGCCAAGTCCCAGGCCTCGTCCGCAGGCTGCAGTTGGTCGCTGGGAGGTCCCGAATTGACCGTGAGAAGGAGTCGGAATCGTGGCTTTCCAGTGAGAAGAGGCGTCAGTAAACCCAAGGACTTTGGGCCTGCGGAGGGCAGGCTGGTGGGGAGGAGAGTGGGGGTCGGTGAGTAGGGGTCGGGGGTCGGGGGTCGCTTCCTGGAGCTCTCAAAATAAGGGGTTTCCAGTGAAATACTGCAGACGGTCTCTGTTCAGTTTCTTTTCTTTCATCCTGCGGTTCTGGAACCAGATTTTGACTTGCCGGTCAGTGAGGTTGAGCATGCGGGAGAGCTGCAGTCTTTTCTCTTTGTTTATGTACACATTAAAGAAAAACTCCCGTTCCAGTTCGCGGATCTGATACTTGGTGTAGGGACAGCGCTTTTTCCGGGACCGCTGGGGGGCCACTGCAAGGCAAAGAGACCCAAGAGGTAAAGGAAACCGTTGTTTGGTCACCCTTGCCCTCCCGCCCGCTGGCTCAGGCCACCCCCAGCGAGTAGGGCCAGGCCCTGGCCCACTGGGGACAGTTCTCAGCCGCCAATGAAAGGCCGTGCCTGCGTCGTGGGGGATGATATATAAGCGAGCCCAGGGGAGAGTGCCGGCTTGGACGCGTATTCATGGCCGGACACACACACACACACACACACACACGCACACGCACGCGGGAGCGCGCGCGCACATACACACACATACACACAGCCAGCCTGGCACCGAGGTGAGGAAGCCGAGGGCGAGGCTGGCTGGGGCAGGAGCCGGGAGAGAGCGGGGCCCGAGCGCCCGGGCATCTGCTGGGCTCCAGCGGCGCGTCAGTCAGCCAGTGGTTTGGATAAAGTCCAGTTCGCCATCAAACTTCCCCCTCCCCTCCAGGGAAGCCCTCGACTCGGGTGTCCCGTTCCCCAACTGGCCAGAAATACCCCCGCCCTCCTCCCTGTGGCGTTGGTTGTGAAGTGGCAGTCCCGACCTCCAGCGGGCCATCCCCTCCCCAAACTGGACACCAACTCTGGGCTGCGATCCCTGTCCCGCTCCACGTCTACCTTAAGCCCACCTAAATTGGCTTCCTATCGTAAACATGCTTTTACTACGGCCCGCGAAACCTTATAGGATGTATAAACCCCTTCGAACGCTTATAAAGTGGCACATAAAACGGCGCAAGCCGAGGGAGGGCCCCGCCGCCGCCCCCGCCCCCC